CTTGCTTCTTTCCTATCTTTTCTATCGCCCTCCTTCCCTTCCCCATCTCCCTGATTAGGATTTGTAATAAACTGGTTGGACTAACATATGAACCGTTGTTTCTTAATCTCACGCCTGGTGTACAGACATTAAAAGAACCTCATCTCCCTCCTGTAAATTGGAGCGAGACACTTGTCTGTGCACAAACTCTGCAAGTTTCTTTAAGCCTTACCGTGGCTGTGTGCTGTTGCCAGAAGAGTTTTTCTGACTTGAGCCTGTAGTAACTGACAAAGTCGTTGCAGCTGGTACTGCAATCACAAACATGAATAGGAGAATAATTACTGGGCTGTTTTGCCATTACCGTCTAAACTTCCCTGCCATTGCTACCACGGACATAAATCTGTGTGCACCAACACGAAGTGCCCAGGGTGTAACTTGTGTCATCAGGACCTGCTGTGAGCAAGCAAAGCAGTGTAAGGATGAAAAGGTAGAAGGGAGAGGGAAGGACCCTGCTTTCCATGCCGACACAGTGTGTAGCAGAAGTACTGTAAGTGCAGTTGGAAGTGCTGAGCTGTCCCCTCAGGGCATCTGGGTTGCTATATTCCTGCAGTGATGCTCTGCCAGATTCCTGACAGAGCACAGCATGGCGTTGGTTTGCCAGAATCAAGTGCCTAAATATTATCTCTTATTAAGAGAATGCTGAAAGAGATAAAAACATCTGTAAAATATGGGTCTAAATCTGTGTTGCAACCAAATGCGAAAGTCTTAATAGCCTTTGAAAACCAAGGGATGAGTTGCTATAAAGGAACAGAAGTAGTGTCATGAGCATGGGTGGTAGGAACACCTCTGAATATGACTGAAACTTCTCTAAAATACAAGAGAAGCAACAGTACATCTGTGTAAGGTCAGATTCCTGCTGCTGTTCCGTAACAAAATGTCTGTGAGAAAGTAAAATCATGTAGGGCTTGGGCATAGAAAATCATCCTAATGTACCCCACTGGAAGATGCACTAATTTGGACAGCACAAAAAGTAGAGGGGGAGTAGGAAAGTGAATCTGGAGTCTACAGCCAGCCATGTTTTCACACAAGTCAGTAGTTCTCAGTGGTTTTGGGAGCCCCAGTGTTGAGTCTGCAGGGAGTGATGTGGGTCTGTGGTGCACATGGATGGCACTGGGCTCCTTGGTGGGCACAGGGGAGAAGGGAGATGAGCCAGGGAGGTGAGGCCAGAATCTGCCAGCAGGTACTCACTCTTGTCCACAGAGAGCCTGACCTCCATTATCCGGGTGAATGCAGGGCGTTGAAAGGGGTTGTAGAGCGCACACCAGTACACACCAGAGTCCTGTGCCTGCAGCTTGTCCATGGTGATGGTGACAATCCCTCTCTGGGCATCGTCCTGGATTGAGCTGCTTCTGTTCCAGACTCTTCCTCTGCTGCCCCACGTGTGAGAGTAACGTGTGCTCACTATGAGGGAGCACTCAGCCTCACCTCGTTGTTGGCACCAGGCTTTTCTTCCCCCGCTGTGACCCAGGGCCCCGTATGGGCACTGCACGGACAGACCGTCCAGCTCCCACCTGTGTAACTCTGCAAAGAGCACATTGGGGGCTGAGCGCGAGTGCTGGGCATGAGGGCATCCTGCTCCCGGGGCGAGGGGCTGTGGGCAGGGCAGAGCTGGGTGCCCCCAGGGCTGTGGCTCTGTGGGGTTCCTTGACAGCAGGCGCTGTGAATGGGGCAGGCGGTGGGCGAGGGTGGAGGCTGGGGGCTGAGGGGGTCGAGGGAAGGCAGGAGGATGGAGCGGGGCAGCAGCACTGTTGTCCTCTGAAGGATGTGAGTTTGTGTGGGGAAAGAAACAGTACTCACCCTTGTAAACATTCAGCGAGATGGTCTTCAGTGGAACATAGTTGCTGCTGTACACACAGGAATATATGCCTGAGTCCTCTGCCTGGAGCTCAGACATGGTGATGGACACAGTCCTGTTGCCATCCTGTATTGTAATGTGGCCCTGCCTGGCCCTGTCTGAGTATCTGTACTGCATTGAGGCAAGTGTCAGCACTACAAGCTCGCATCGTGCGTTCCTCAGGCGGCACCAGGCTTTCAGTTGCTTGTTGTCAGGCTGTGTTGTGTAAGGGCATTCGATAGAGAACGTGCTTCCTTCCCGTTGGCTAATCTCAGCTTCAGGTGTTTGGGCTGGGAGACCTGCAAGTGGGGGGCCTGGTGAAGCTACAGCTCTGCACCCACAGAATGGCTTCAGCTGGGAGCATTAGGCAGCTGGTGCGGGATGGTGAGAGCTGCCCCTGCCCTGCACTGCCCTCCCCTGCCCTTCCTCAGCACTGCAGGACTGGGAAGCGCGTCCCACGGGATGCCTCTAACGTGCCCAGCCCTCCTCTTACCTGGGCAGCAGAGCAGCAACAGGAGGAGAACTCTCAGCTCCATGCCGTCCTCAGGCGCGGGGCAGGGGCATTGCTGGGGGCTCCCCACCTGCCCGTTCCAAAGCGTCTGCCCTGTGAGCCTTCCGTCCTCCCACTGACGCTGCTGGAGGAAGTCCTGACGTCTTGTCTTCCCTCAGAAATCTTTCATCACATTTTGCAATGAAACTGATACCAAGATTATTTCAGGGTTCATTTGGGGAAGTGGCTGTGGGCAGAGCTCAGCCCGTATTGAAAGGAGAGGCTCTTCGTTGTGCTCGCTCAGCGGTTGTCCCCCTCTGCTCTCACACTGGTGCCAATGGAGCTCTCTTTTGAATGTTCCAAGGCATAGGAGATGAAGCACGACCTTGGTCTTGGCCCAGCCATGGCCAGAATGTCCCCTCCAAGCCATGGTGGCAGCGAGGGCTGAACTGCATGTGCAGCCTTATAAGCCTTTCTCTTCTTACATGTCAAATAATGATTCCTTTCCCTTCCCTTCCCTCTGCTTACCACTCAGTAGTCTTAAGAAATACTTTTTCTTTGTGGCATAATGTCACAACTTTGAAGTCACTTTTTTTGTGAAAGATTTTCTCATGTTTTACAACAGATAATGTTTCCCTCTTCCTCCCTTCCTGGTAAACAAAGGGGATTCTTTTGTCCCTTGGGGAAGAAGCAGATAGTGCCTGGCAGGACCTGCTGTTTTCTACCCTTGGTGCTCTGGCTGGCCCCCACTGCCCTGTTTACCTGGTGGCTCACCTGTTTTATTTCTGCTTCTTACTGACAGTTGTTTCATTGGAGTTAATGCGAGTCTTTAAAAAAGGAGAATAGAAGGTTGTTTGCCATTCACCTGCAAGTAAAATACATTTAGTAAGGATTGAACTTCTTTGGTGACACAAAACAAAGTGAAACTGTCTGGACAGGCAAGTGTGCAGCTCCTGAGGTGGTGTTGGCACTGATGTCTCTATAGGCACAGCTGAAGTGATTTGAAATAGAGTAGAAACAATAGAAATATTGAAATGAGAGGTAGAGCAGCTTGTGACGTGGCTGACTCCTAGCTGATTGTGCAGATGGACAGCTAAACACAGCCTCCTGTCTGTGCACATCCTTCTGATTCCCAGTGCCATTCAGGAATTGAAGATGAACACACCAGCACTCCCATGCATTGTACAGGATCTCAGACAAATGCAGAAGGAACACTGTGCCCAAGATCCCCTTGCCTCTTGCACTGCTGCACCCCTTACCTGAAAAACACAAGAGCAGAAGCAGGAGGAATCACGACTGTGCCTGTTCTGGAGCCAAGAGGAAAGGCAGTGCTGAAGGAAGATCAGAACAGCAGGTATCTGCACCCTTCTGTCCCACACTGGCACTGCTGGAGAAAGTGGCTGAGCTTCATGGCTGCAGCTTGGCGTAGTGTAGAAATCCCTCTCTACAGCTGAACAACCAAATTCATGCATGAGTGATTAAATCGTCCATGTCAACAGAATTTGGCCAGTTCAGAAGACACAGAGGCATCAGACAGAACCCAGGGAGCTCCCCTTGAAATCGCTGTGCCTTTCTCTGCCCTTCAAGACAGCGACAATAAAGAAGCAAAGTGGCAGTAAATTCCTCTGCCTTCCCGCTGCCAGCAGATGTGCTCTGCAGTCTCCCCTGGGCCAGTGCCTACCTGCTTTGCTCCATCAGAGCAGTGAGAAAGACTGTTCTGACACCCCGGCTGCAAATAATTTCCAATTATATGAATAAGCAGCTTATTAACAATACATTCCAGCTAATCATTTTGTGCTAAGATATCTTCACGTTGTCTTTTCCCCAAATCCCTCTCTCATCAGGCACTTGATGCTGAATAACAAGAAGGGGGAACGCAGTGGTTCTCTTATGAACAAATCCCAAGAGTCTGCAATTACTTCAGTTTCTACAACTGCCAACAAACTGAGCAGAGAACTGTGCTGCAGTGCTGTGGGAAAGGAGGAGGCACCACACCTGTGTTTGCTGTGCCTGGTGCAGGCTGAGTGCTGGAGCAGAGGAGCTCTCTGGAGCAGGACAGGTCAGGAAGAGGCGTCTGTGTAAGACTCAGTGGATTCCAGGGACAGCTGGGAAGTATTGAAGTCGGTCCCCTTGCTGCATCTCTGTCAGAGGATCAATGTGGATTTTAATTATAGCATTGCAGTAAATGAGGTGAATGCAATCTCTGGAAGTCACTTAGCCTACCCCAGTGACACACGCAATAGGATCAACTCCTCCTGTGTCATTTCAGTTTAACAAGTTGAGGTTGCAGCACTCTTCTGGTGACTTTTTGCAGTGCTGCACCGTCCTGATTTGAAAGCTTTTCTTAAAGCTCCCTGCTATTTGAGTGCCTCTCTGCCTTTTGTATCTGCAGAGAACACAGGGAACAGATGATTCCCTTTCTTTTGCTCTGTGTGCGAGGACTCCTGCCTTGCCTCCCCTCAGTCTGTCACTGCACTAACCATCCCCAATCCCTTTAATTTTCACTCCTGAGCCGTGTTTCCGACAGCTTGGATCATTTTTGTTCTCTGAATTCTCCCATCAATCCGCCTCTTCTCTGCCAATCCGCCTGGCATCCCCGGGGCCCCCTGAAGTTCCTACAGAGCTTTCGCATCCAATCAAGGACGCAGCCTCGTACTTGTTGCCTTCCGCACAAACTGCCTTCCTGCTCTCTCGCTCCCTTCGCGACGAAACCCTCGGCAGCCCCGAAGATGCAGCAGTGGCGGTGGGGCCGCTAGAGGGCAGAGGGCGATTAGGAATGGGGCACGGGGCTCCGGGCGCTGCCCCGAGCCGAGCTGCCGGCCCGCAGCCGGTCTGTGCCGCCGGGAGCGGAATGGGAACGAACTGCACCGCTCAGCGAGAGGTCTGTGCAGGGCTGGCACAGCGCTGGCAGCGGGCAGGTGCTTGTGCACAAAGAGAGTCTGGGGAGCTATGGAACTATGGAATCGCAGTTAGGAGAGGCTCACAAGGATCAAAGAGATCACAAGAGGATAGCCAAGGAGCCTCCTAAAACTGTAAGCAGGCTGCAGTCCCAGGGCCATTTCTGTGAGACCTGCCCGGCTCTTTCTGGGGACACATCGCCAGCAGGGAAACACAAACACATCCTTGATCCTTGTCCGAGCCTGATGCTCTGCAGGGATGCAAGGCAGCAGGGATTGATGTTGAATAATTCTGGGAAAAGAGGCTGCTGGGATAAGGGAGAAGATAGGCTGCTAGGGGGTGACCCAGGGAAACAGAAGCGGCAGCGATAGCCAGAGCCTGGCTGGGGAGGAAGCAGGCAGAGCCAGGATGGCTGTGTGTGCTGGGGCTGCAGGGTGCAGGACGTGGGCTCAGTGCAGCTCTGAAGGAGAAGAGGCCCCACAGCAGCAGCTTAGCGAGAGGCCTGGTGTTTGGTCTGTTCCACATCAATGGGGCGTCCAGCTGTGGCTGAGGATGAAAGCAAGAGAGAGAGAGAGGATTAAAGGCTCCCAGGGTCTCCTCTAACCCGCCTAAGACTCACTGAGAGGGCAGTGTGCGGCTTCAGGAAGGCTTCTTCATATGGAAAATATTATGTGAGGGAGAGAAAGCGAGGGGGAAGGGAAGAGGGAGAGTTCTGTCCAGAGCTCTGGGGGAGAACAGATCACAAAAACACTGTAACCCACAGAGTGCAGTGGGGCATGGGTAGTGGGTTTAGGAGACCTGTGGGCAGGAGATCAGTCCAAACATGCAGGGAGAGAGAGAAAAAGGAAAGGATGAAAGAAGAGGAGAAGGGGAGAAGGGATACAGAGAAATTGGGGAGGAAAGAGAAGGCTGGACAAAAGGGAGGAGAAAAAAGAGACGTGGGGGGGGGGAGGTGGTGAAAAGTGGGATGAGGGACATGGAGGAGGGAGGTGGTGAAAGGCCGGCTGTCTGCTCTGCTGTGTTGTTAACCAGGTTGCCAGGTGGAAGCCCCCGCACTCCTGGCCCTTTTCCTTCCCCCACCAAACTTCTCCCAGGAATGCCTGTGATGGGGAACAAATTGCTAACAGAAGTGAGACATTTTGCACCAAACGCAAGCAAGTTTCCAGTGAAAGGTTTCCTGTCAGCGGGTTGGGAGTGGAGGGTGTGGAGCCTTTCTGCCTGCTCTGGCAGAGTAATCCTGCAAGTTAACACCAAGCACTGGTTACAGTGCAGGATAAAGGACCCGAGGCTGGGCTTTCCTGCCTTCTGTTTTGGCTGCTGCCATTTGGCTGCTTTCATCCTCCGTTATTTTCTGCTTCGCCCCTGTGTGGCATTTGAGGCCTCATTAGCTGCTCCTCTACTCCCCCTGACCACCCCCCACCGGTGAGATCTCCCGAGAATTCACAGGCTTCCACTCCACTTTCCTCCTTGATTTATGCCGTTGAACTGAATGACCTTCGCTGACCTCATTTTCATGACAGTGTGAGCACACACATCAGCGCCCGGCGAATGGCAGCGATCCTCCCTCCCTCGCAGTCCTGCCCTCTGAGCTGCAAGGACACTGGTGCTCCAGGTCGCACATGGGGTAGGTTTGGTGTGTGCTGTGTGCTGCACAGGCACGGTGCCCATTGCCTGAATCTGCAGAGCTGTCTTGCATGCTAAAGCCCAGAAACGTGGAAGGTGCCAGCTGCAAAATGCTGCTCTACCTATCCTTGCTTATATGGACAACATTTAGCTGAACTGGTGTGCATGCAAAAGCAATATGCAGAAAAATACTCCCGTGTATTTTCACTCTCTGTACAGACAACCAGAAGTTTTCCCTCTTCCATTATCTACATGTCAAGGGAGCCCTCAGATATATATGGCATCTCCCTGTGAGAAATGCACACCAATCATGTCTCTCCTTTTTATCTAGGTTGCTGTGTTCTTGGTCATCGCTGCAGTAGCTGAAAAATTGCTAGATGGGCCAGACAACCCAAAACACACAATTGAGAGACGTGCATTAACAACCTGTTCTGGACAAGCTTGCAAGGTGAGGGAACTTCTGTTAGAACAAATTTGTGGTGCAGTGACTTTTGCTTGAAGAAGTGGATTTTAACTGGAAGAAGAAGACTGCTTCTCCCTTGGAGATCCACCTGAGTCTCTGCTCCTGGTTTTCAGGAAGTTTGCCTCAAGTTCCTGAAGGTAAAAA